ACTCTCCATATTATTAGAATATGGTTAATTATTTCAAAATATATATTTAAAAAATCTGGGGTTTCCACTCACACGACTTTCCTACCTATTTCAGAAAAGTTTTTATATCTTAAAACATGTCCATTAAGAAACAAAAAAAAAAAAATTGAATTACATTTATTTTCCTGAAAATTGATCAAAGAAAAGATTTGAGAACGATTTTTTTTTTTTTTATAAATAAACTATATTAATGTACACCGACTTGTGTTAATTCACTATAAAAATTTCAATACCCTCTAATATTGCTGATCAAAAGCTTTTTGACATAGCCTAATTTTGTCCAAAAATAATTTCTATTAAAATTAGATGAAATAGTGAAGGTTGTGTGATGCGGGCAACAGATTTTCTTTTCTTTCTTACACCAGGATATGAACCCGTAATCTTACATACGAAATTAAATAGTTGTAACTTCGTTAATAGTTGTCCCAAATAAACGATTTTATATAGTTTTGTAGGGAATTTCAATACCTTTATAAAAAACAGTCTAACCAGAGGCTCTGAAACTTTTATATCCGTCGAACATAAATGCTCGAAAATTGAAAGGACAATTATTAGAAAATTATAGGAAAGTTCCATCAAAATCGTTTGAGCCGTTTTCGCGCTACAGTTTATAGCAAAATATATTTTTCACTTATTGCGCAGGGAGCACCCAATTTGTGTCACAGGCATCAGTAGTCAAAACCCTACAAAAAAAGAAGGAACAAAATCGGTTCAGTAGTTCCCGAGATAATCTTGTCACAGACAGACCAATGGCTAAAATTGTGTTTTTCGGATTCAAGGGGTCCTGAAACGTATAGATCCGTCGAAAATCGCACTTCGGAAATTTGACCCGATTGCAATACTTTCCTTACCTTGTATTGGTAGGAAAGTAATAACAAAAAAAATTGTCAAGGAGCGTCGCAAATTCGAAAGACTGAATGTAATATATTTTTAAGAAATTTAGTATGGTTATCGATAATCGATATTGTAGAAATATCAATATTTTCCTTTTGATATTCGATATTTATAGACTATCTATATCGTCCCTTCGATATTTTAATATATTTTAATTTATTTATATTTTTTTATTATTGAAATTTACAACTGTATCAAATGATAAATACAACAAGTAAATATGAAACAAGTAATATGACATGTACAACATGAAGAGAAACTACCACTGGTAGGGCTATTGTAATATTTAAATTTAAAAATAAAAGTTTAAACTACTGTTTAGGAAAGCGTTAGAAATTATATATGAGTGATAGATATCAACTCTCATTTTTTTTACATAACTTGAAGATGAATCTCAAATAATTTCTTAATAAACCTCAACTCAATTAATATTAACTTTAAGCTTATTAAACAAGAAAGTTTAGAGGTAGTAAAAAAAAAAAAACTCGAATAATTCATGATCTTTTTCAAAATTTAAAGAGTGAATAGTTTTAACAATGACAAATTTTACATTAATCGCAGTAAATTTCTTCTAGTTTACAACGAGGTAATTTTTAATTTTTTTAGTTACCTCCTATTCAACGAAAACACGCCTTACTTAAAAACATACAAAATTGTATTTTTTTATTTTTCTGCTGAAAATCGGGCTATTACTTATATAACCTATTTTATTTATCTTGAGGTCTGCATATCAAATATGAATAATATTAATAGTGAAAAATTTTGAATCACAGTTTTTAAATCAAAATAAACGTTTTAAAGATCTCCCAAATCATATCACACAGGTCTTTTCCTAATTGTAATAACATAAATTTTAAAGAAGAGAAGAATAGTTGGGGTGTTCAGTCAAAAAGGAAGGCAAAAATAAATGATAATATTTATTTTTTACATATGCCGACGTTTCGACCTGAAGTTCAGGCCTTCATCAGGGCTAAGAAAATAACCAGATAACAAGGTATGAGAAACATAAGTAATGATGGTAAAAAAGATAATAAAAAAACAAATAAAATAAAAAAAACAAAAATTATTAGAAAAATAAAATAGATAAATATAAAGTAAAATGAAATTGTTAGAATAATGATTAAGAACTAAGAGATAAATAATAAAAACCGTTACTAAGTGTGGAATGATTCATTGGGATCAATGATGCATCATTCCACACTTTGTAACGGTTTTTATTATTTATCTCTTAGTTCTTAATCATTATTCTAACAATTTCATTTTACTTTATATTTATCTATTTTATTTTTCTAATAATTTTTTTTTTTTTTATTTTATTATCTTTTTTACCATCATTACTTATGTTTCTCATACCTTGTTATCTGGTTATTTTCTTAGCCCTGATGAAGGCCTGAACTTCAGGTCGAAACGTCGGCATATGTAAAAAATAAATATTATCATTTATTTTTGCCTTCCTTTTTGACTGAACACCCCAACTATTCTTCTCTTCATTATCCACGACAGTCAACCAATTACCAATCATAAATTTTAAATTGGCTGGTATAAGTGCAAGTTGCATTATGCCCACTCAGCACACCAGATTTTTTTTTTCAAACTGAAACCTTTGTTTTTCCCCTACCTAGCCTTTTCAAACAGAGACTCGAACCCTCAATCTCCCATGTTATAAGGTTGCCAGGCAACGCGTATTTTGCTAACACGTTAGCCCCATTCTGCCACCCCGCCTCCACTTTCAGACAAAAACTTACGACTTTGATTATGTCTGTAGTTTTGAACGAAGAAATGATCCATAACAAAAAATCGATGTTAGCAAGAGCCTTCCTAGAAACAAAATTATAAATATTAGAATCAGGGCAGGTAATAATAGAGACAGGAGACGAGGGAACACATGTCGATAGGGTGTAGGTATCTCTCGATGTATCGAAATAATTCCATGTTCAATGTTACTGTCCTATCATTAAGATGAGCCGTGAAGGGAGGTGATGTCCTAATGTCACGGGGGTTTTTACCCTTTTTGTATAATTTCGGATTTGGTTACGTTTCGTTACTACCAGATTCCCGAAAATACCCGAAAGAAGACGAAGCGTAACGATCCTCATGATTACATAAAATTACAGATTATGATTAAGTAAATTACTCGCTATTTCAAAATGAAAATTTTAACTCAATTTAAATTTTCGAAAACTCAATTTTAATAGTCGATAATAATAATAATTGTAAAATGTTGAAATAGATATAATTTGTCGGAAAACATAAGTTAGAGGAAAATCCGATCTGATAAGCAGATTATTATCTGATCTATAGGGAGGAGAGACTTCAGCCCGAAAGCTTCTCTCCAAAAATGTAAAAATGATTTATATTGAATATTTAATAGTTGACCGTTGCATTATAAAGGAAGGAGATGGTCCGGGGTGGCGGTCATAAATAGGCTAAATAGTGGCAAAACTATTTTATTAAAAGCCAACGTTTCGACCAGACTTTGCAGGTCTTCTTCAGGGCTGGAACGGACAAGATACAATAAGATAGAGAATTGTGGGAGTTACATAATATTTAGAGAGAAAAATTATAAACAATATGAATAAGCTTATTAAAATTATAAACAGTGAGTACATTAAAATATGAACAGAGTAAGCTAAATAACAAGATCCTAAACTGAAGTAAATAGATGCTTACAATTTAGCCTATTTATGACCGCCACACTGGGCCATCTCCTTCCTTTAAAAATTATTTAAATAAACTCAACTTTAAATAAAAAAATATACAATGTATGTTGGATTACATCGATGTATTAAATTCTCTACAGACCTCACAAAAAAAAAACAAAAAAAAAAAAAAAATTCATGGAAATCGCCCCATTATAAGCACAGATAAAGCCTTTCGTAATTATCCGACTAAGCGAACGGATGAATCGATTTTTAAGTTATCGAACGGCTGGATCGATTTTTATGTCTGATGGCTTATATTATTTAGTGAGTATTTTGAAATAATTTGAGCCCAAAATTCTGTCTACTGTGTAAAGTGTGTTTAATCGATCCTCTAAAAGGTACTTAAAGATTATTCTATCATTACTCAGTTAGATCTCGTGAATGTTTTGAAAAAAATAAACATAAAATACTGAGAGAAAAAAATTATTATAGCTTATATCTCTCGATTATTAATTGATTTGAAATGATATCATGTTTTCATATGTTATGAAAATGAAGTGTTAATATTTTAAAAACTAAAAATGGAAAAATATTTTGATTAAAAAAAAAAAAAAACTGACTACAGTGATTGGGAAAATTTATCTATCCTGAGGAAATGTATTTCCATAATTACTGAAACATCTTGAAGAAGAAAAATAGAAAAGAAGAAAACTTAATTTTATTCTGGGATTTTTAGTCCCCTTAGAATAATTATAATGTACAAAATATGAAAATTGTCTGGCACTATAAAAAATAAAAAACAATAAGAATAATTTTAGCTAACACAACATAATAATCTAACGTTATAATTCAAATAAATTAAGTACGAGTTAGCATATTGATAAACACATTCTGATTAAGCATATTGATGATATGTAAGTAACAGTAACATACCAGTCAAATGAGAGTGATAGCTCTTTAATACGAAATTTTATTCTTACATGTATTCGGAATATTGATTGCTAAGGAGGTGGAATAATAGAAATTGTTTAAATGAGGTTAAGGAAGAGGATTTGTGTATAGAGATAGGTAGAGAATTCCATAAAAAAAGTTAGCACGCATGATAAAGGATTTTTTAAAGGAAACAGTTCTATGTGAGGGAACAAACGGGTTTATGGACTGAGATCTTGTGTTAATCGAATGAACAGAGGAACAAGGAGTAAACAAATCGGGAAAAGAAGGTAAGGTGGCTCTTTGGTTGTAAAGGTTCGGAAAAAGAATATAGCTAAGAAATATTAATCTTGGTATACAAACAACTATACTTATACTGGTATACCAATATCTTGGTAGATTGATTGGGAAATTGACATCTTTATCTTCAATCTTCCTATCACAACCACCTCATTTTGAAATTTTACATTAATAAATATTTTTAATAATTTTTATTTCTTTGTTCTAGGCTCACGTTGTATCTGCATTTGAGCAGTCCCTTTCAAACATGACACAACGGCTACAGCAACTCACTGCCACTGCTGAGAAAAAAGTTAGTCATAATTTAGTTTTCAATTTATTTATCTATTTTATATATAATCAAGCGTAAGTTTGTTTATAGTCATATATCTAGTATAAATAAAGTTATTTATCAATTTAACTTAATGCAATCGTTTCAAAAGAAAACATAATAAATGCTACATTAGTCTAAAATTAATGCACACATTGTCTTTTCAAGTAATTGCATGGTGTTATGTTAAAAACTACCAACTGATCATTTTTTTTTTTTTAAGTACTAAGAAATTTAAATTAATTTCTTTATTATTTTCTTTCTTTGAAAAGAGGATGTCATCTTGCCCAGAACACAAATGCAGTGCTGGCCTTCGTAACAGGCAATGCAGGCAATTATCCCCCAGCACCCCCCCAGGGAAAGGCGTCTGCAAAATTTACAAAGTTTATGAGAATAATTAATTTTAGCCTATTAATAAAGGAATTGAATTAGAGACATGTTGAATGAAATAAAATTCAAATATTACTTAATATAAAACAGTTTAAGGAATAAATTCAATTTTTTTAGGGAAGGGGGATGACATCATTTTACACTGCACTGCATAAATGTAAATATCTGTTGTTCATAAGTCATAAGAGAGATGTTTATTTATATAAGGCATATGAATAAAGTTCTGTGACATTTTACTCTCCCAAAAAATTTTTTTTATTTTTATGATGTTTCGGGATCACTTTATTATTCCATCGTCAGACTAGAAACAAGAAACATTTTTGTTATTTGTATTTATATATTTTTATTCCATATATTTATTACTTTTAATTAAAAATTGTTTTTAGGGATAATTTATAAAAATAAAAATTATGACAATTCTTTTAAAAAATTAGATGATGGATGAAATATGGATAAGATTGGCAAATCTGCTATTGATATCTTTGAAATGAAATGAAAAATAATTTTATTCTGGGACTTCCATTACTCTGCCATGTTGATATCATACAAATATAAAAAATACTTAGGAAATTGTAAAAATATATATATATATATATATATATATATATATATATATATATATATATATATATATATATATATATATATATATATATATATAAAGATACTAAGGAAAATATAAATATCTACAAAAAATTCTAAAGAAAAACACAAATATATACAACAAATATTAAAAAAGTGAATAAATAAAATAAAATGACTTCTAACAATTAACTGCTGGTGACCAGCGTAATAATATATCTCAGAAATTTTTACAAAATTGCAGAAGTTTGAATTTGTAGTAAGTGATGGAATAGGAGTTGTTTGAAGGAGTTTATGGACGTGGTTTGACGTATGGTGATGTGTAAGGAGTTCCAAAAGGAGGTAGCACGAATGACAAAGAATTTACTGGAGGAAGTGGTTTTATGGGAGGGGATATATAAATCTATAAATTGAGATCTGGTATCGAGAGAGTGGATTGAGGAGTGTAAAGTAACGAGTTCTAAGATGTAGGGAGGGTTTTTGGTTTTGAGGACTTGAAACAAGAAGAAGAAAAACACTAAGAAGGAATTGCTGTCGGGAAGGTAGGATAAATCCACTGTTACTTGGTGTACCAACAACGAACATGAGAACGCTTGGGAATCCCATCCCATTCCATGGGAAATAAAGCAATTCATAAGTTTCTTCAGTCTCGCCTCCAGTCCTGTGGACAGCCCTCCATACACCAAGCAACCGGATTCAAAGTGGGGAAAGACAAGGGATGTTACAAGGATCTGGAATTTTTTTTCCTGTTTTTTTTTTTTCCGAATGGAATCGCGGAATCGAAGCAATTGTTTAAGGATAGTTATGGGTTTACGGATAATCTGGGAAATGATGTTGTTCCAAGAGCAGTTCTGATCAAAGATCACTTTGAGATTTTTGACTGACAGAAAGAAATGAATGGGACGGTTATTGAGGTAAAGTAAAGGAGAAAAAGAAAGGGAACTAATGTTATAAGTTATAAAAAATATATAAATACAAATAATATCAATGTTTCTTGTTTTCTATTCTGAAGATGGAATAATAAAGTGATCCTGAAACGTCATAAAATTAAAGAAAAATTTTTTTGGGAGAGTTAACTGCGACTTAACTTTATTCATATACCTTATATAGATATCTGTTTTGCATTATCACTTGCTACATCGGCGTTTTCTATCCAGCAGATCTAGAAGTACCACAAGAGTAAAAAATCATAAGAAAAATATATTGTGGTTAAGTTTCTGAATAACACCAGCCCGTTTAGTGGCGTGTTCACTGTGCAGTAATTTTGTCCATTTTATATAATATAATGGTTCTGGGAGCAAAGTAGCTAAATGATTAAAGCTCTGGGTACCAACTATGAGTCCAGCTGTGGCAGGTAATTATTTATTCTGTTACATCAGCCACTAATCGACTCTGAAGTCTTGAGACTCTCCTGGGGCACATCCAGCCTCTTTTAAAGTGGATGGATTTAATTAATAATGGGATAAACTTGGTGGTTGAGTGTGATCTCAGTCAAATCATCTCCTTGCACAACTTTAGGTTACAAATATGTTTTTTATATTTCTTTTTAAACAATTAGGATAGATGCTTCAGGCGATGGTTAAGAAAATAAATTTTTACTATTTTTATTTTATATTCTTTTCTTGATCGCCATCCGAACAACGTCTTATCTCAGTTTCTTTTCAAAAATTCTAGTTACGAAAATTTGATAACTTATATAAATATTTTTCTAAAACAAACAATTGTAATGTAAAACTATTTTTTCTGTAGTATATTTGTGCTTAAGGTAAAGATACATAATTTATTAAGGATTTTTGAGACTAAAAAATTTAATTTATTTATTTATGCTTTATATATTTATGTTTAGAATTAAACTCTGTTTTATTGATTTTTTTCTTGATCATTTTGTAGGACTCAGAATTATTAGAGCTAAGACAGACTATAGAACTCCTTCGTAAACAGAGCGTCGAGGCTGGGCTCACATCGCAGGCGATGTCCCCATCGTTGGCAAGGCGCCACACGATCAACACTACGGACCCAACCAGTGGTAATATACCAATTATCAATAGATATTATGGCTAATTTTAAAATGAATATATATTTTTACGGTTCATATTAATATTTGATAACAATACAAAATATATATATAATCTTGAAAATAAAATTGTTTATTGTTGATAAAAAATATAAGCAATTGTTTTATTGGAAACAAACAGGTTTTTTTTATTCGCATCTAACCAATAAAACAATGATTATTAGAAAGGTATTTAACAAAAATTGTGCATATTTTGAGTAAACTCATGCCGAGGATAAATAGTCTTGAAAAATCTGGAGGTTTTTAAATAAGTGTATTTCTTTTTTGGGGGGATGGAGGGATAAATATATAGGATGCAGTCATTATAAAGTTTTTATTGGTGCTGACGTTTCAACCCAAACATGTGGGTCATCATCAGGGCTGAAAAATTGTTTAATACAATCAGAGATATAATATTATAAGACAGATAATGATTAATAATAAAAAATAGTGTTTGATAATAAATGAAATTAAACAAATGAAGTATGTAAAAAGTTATACAAACTAAAAATAATGTATATAATCAATTTATAAAAAATATAATATTTACTCTTACTAACCATGTTTCAAGCACTGATGGTATTTAAGTACTGACACTTTGGTATATAAGTAAAAGGGTTGGTGGAGAATTTTTCAGATGTGTTTTTAAGATAGCGAAATGTTTGTAAACAAAAATGTTGGTAAGAGGGAGGGGGAGGTGATATTTCTGTTTGTATAATGCAAATAATATGATAACTAAAATATTTAAGATGTATATAAGATTTACGTTGTTTCTTACCGTTACAAAGTTGTGACTATTGACTTGTAATGAAATAAAATTAAATAATAGATGACATTGATTACAAATATCAAATAGTTTGAGTGAAAGTATACAGTAGTTAGCCAAATAATGTTTACAATATAGACAATTGTAATGGTAAGTAGTACAATATTTTAAGAATAACAATATTTATCATGAAAAAAACTATTATATTAAGGATTACATAGTACTAATAGTATTAGTATAAACATGTCTGTGCCTGTTTATAGTAATTTCTATATATTTTTATTGAGAATAGACATTAGGAATAGTTACATCTATAAGTTGACAAGGAAATGGGGAAGATAAAAACAATTTTTTAATTATTATAGATTATTGTTTGAGGAGGCAGAAAATGTTCATTTTTTTCCTAGACTATTTCTAGGATGAGGAATGGGGGTGAGAGTAGGGTTATATTCTACAGGTATAACCATTTATTCTATGGGTCCGCCACAAAATGAATTTCAACTCGCCTAGGCCACAATTGAATCGACACTAGACTTGAGGATGCTTAGCGTATGATGCCTTGACACTCTCCTCCATCATGATATCAAATTTTATCCACCCAAAAATATTGCTATTATATCAATCACAGGATCTAGGGGGAGGGGGGATATAAAGGGCCTTTTGGGCTAAATGTAAGCATGTTTTTTAGAAAAAAAAATTGATAAAATTATCTTTGAAGTATTATTGTTCCTGTTCCATTTAATATGACTTCAAGAATCACTTGAACACTTTTTCATATAAGTGATAAGTATCTTACTTTTTTTTCCAAAGTAATTATCATTGCATATATGAAAAAAAAAAAAAAGCTTTCGGGCTGAAACCCCCATTCCAAATTAAATCCTGGATCCAGTAGTGATTTCAATAGATTGATTTAAAATTAAGTACAATGTGGTTATTTGGTTCTCTTTATAAACAGAAACATCCTATTCGGTTTCCAATTTTTTTTTTTTTTTTTTTTCACCTTTGATTTTCCACTGAAGATACTCAAAACAATAGATGGTTCTTTTCTGTTGAAAGTATTAAACGCTAATTCCATTAAAAAACAACATTAACTCATTTTTTACATATTTTTAAATTGGTCGAATTCTACTTAATTTTGTGCCATCATTTAAACTAATCAATATTATAGTAATATTTTTTTTTATTGTTGGTACTTCCAATTTAAAGTCAGTCTAATTTGTTGCATCCACTCCTATATACCATAATGTTAATTATTCTGCTTACAATTAGGTATAAACTTAGCTTCTTTACATTTCACCTTTATAAACAGAATATCATAATGTTCTAATTTATTTAATTTTTTTTACATGTGTTTCAGAGAGTAATATTTCTAGACAGCTTTCTACTGACTCGGTTTCAAGCCTTAATTCCCTTAGTTCTGCCTGTAGTCTTTCAAGCACGCCTATGCCTCAAGAAACTGAAAAGAAAAAGAAGCGTGGATGGGTAAGCGTTGTATTATAAGTTTATTATTATTATTCTCTTTGGGGCTCCACTAAGCCATCTAATTCCTCTCGTATCCACTCCTTACAATCCAAAATCCTTCAGAAAATCCTCAATGCTCCTTACTTTGTCACAAATAAAATAATCCATAAAGACCCTTATGTTTCCGATTTGGCCCAATCCAGATACCAATCCTTCCATAATAAACTTCAGAACCATCCGAACCCTCTCATCTCTAACCTTGCTTCCTCTTCTATTCCTGATAACCCTCCGAGGCGTCTGAAAAAAAGATGGCCTCGAGATCTCTTATTGTAAATACATTTTGTTTTTAGAGTGCTACCAGTGGGTAGTTTCTCAACAAGTGATTTCATGTTATTATTTTCTGTTATCAAATTTACTGAATGTATTTTATTTATTAATACAGTTGTAAATATCGAATAAATAAAATTAAAAAAAAATTATTATTATTATCACCTATTTACAATATTATATAATATTTGGATTGGGAGACCCTCCTGGGGCACACTTAGCCTCTATAAAGTAGCTACTCTTAATTCACTGAGGGAAAAACCTTATGTTTAAGAATATCCATTTTTATTATAATAATAGGTAGTTTATTTATTTATATTCTAATATAACCAAGCACTCATCAAATGATTTGATCCTTCTCCAGAAAGCAATTTTATTATTATTTAGATTGGAAATTTTCTTTGTTCCTCCCGAGGCAAAAACAAAAATTATATACATCTTAGTAATTTTCAATTTTAATAATGATCACGTTTGGATTTAGATACTTATTTTCTTGGCCATGGCAATACTCCTTTTAATGAACAGTAAATTAAAAAATATTAAAACTACTACTACATAAAAACTACATGAAATTATAATTTATTCTTGGACAAATTAACCAAAAAAAAATTGTTTTCTTTGCTATCCTTTTATTATTGCCGATGTTACGGCTTCTGAACCATTTTCAAGTATATACTGTATTATTATAATTAATCAATAGAATACTAAAAATTTTCAATTCAACACTACAACAATTCTTAAATTTATGTGTATACATTTTTATAAATATAATGTATTTCAGTATATATAATATTATTTTAGTTTACATTAAAAATTAAAGAATAAATAACAATATGGCAACTAACATGAATCATTTATGACTAGAAAATGAAATTATCATATTTTTTTTTTCTGTAATATAGCTTAGGAGCTCTTTCAACAAAGCATTTTCGAGATCGAAGAAGAACCGCAACGGTTCTGTGTCGTCGGATGCAGAAGACAAAGTCGACATCTCAGCACCACCGAGCCCCCTCCTTGGTCACCACCATATCAATGGAAACGACCTTAACTCGCCAACTGAGTAAGTTATATCATTTTATTATTTTCATTATGCAGCTATATTTTCTTATGGTTATATTTGAATATAGACTATACATTCTATATGAAGGTTACATTTTATTGAAGTAAGTTAGTCAATGTTTAAGATTTTTATTGCCAACGTTTCAACTTAAGTTTGTGGGTCATCATCAGTGTTGATAAATTTATAACATCAGAGATATGAAATGATATAACAGATAACAGTTAATAATGATAAATAGTGATGTACGAGTAATAAAAATAAAATAATAACTAATGTATAATGATCAAACTAGCTTATTGTATGCCTGTATTGTGTATAAAAAAGAAATAATTCATCAAAAGCTTTATTGACTTTTTTTTTTTTTTTTTTTTTTTTTTTCACGAACAGGCCTTAAAGACCACGCGAATACCATGAAGTTAATGCTTCCTCTTCATCTGCCTCCTCTTCTCCCATATGGCCTTCATGAGCTCCGCGTGTTTACGTTTCCTCTCCTCAGACCACGCAACACCCTTTTTGGAGCGCTTCTTGCCCGCAAGAACCGTTATTCTCTTGAGCGCCTTTCTGTACTCATCTCTGTCTAAACAATCTTGGTCTCTTAGCCCCACTTGGTCCATATCATCCTTAATCTGTTTAAAATTATTGACTGTTTTATTCAAATCAAAATTAAAAATTCCTATATCATGCAAAGGTCAACTATTAAATATTCTATAAAAATATTGTATTTTATTTTTTAATATTGTAAAAAAAATCTACCGAACATATATAAAATATACCATGTACATACAACCTTTTTTTTTCTAACAGAACCTCAATCAATATTTTTTATGTAAAAAAATAAAAACTGGTCTTGAATTTTACTCCTTTCCAAAGAATTATTATTGAGATAATCGTTCAATTAATTAAATAAACTGTTAAGTAACTTTTATGTGAATCTCAACATTATTTATGGGTATAAAAATACATAGATACATAGTAAGTATACCAAAATGATACCAATCCAATCCATTCACAGGCGGATCTACAGGGGGGGCTTTCGGGCTGAAGCTCCCCAAAATGGTAAAATATAATCATGTTTTACAGAAAAAAATATTAAAAACTATTTCTTGTAAGTATTCTTGTTCGTGTAATTACATTTAATAGGACTTCAAGAACCACTTAAACACCATTTCATATAGGTAGTTAATTTCTTTCTTTTTTTAACAAAATTAATTACCGTTAACCACGGCTAATAAGAGAAAATAATACAAATTTTTTATAAATGGATTATATACATTATTTTTAGTTTTTATATATTTCATTTTTATTATTGTGTAATGTAATATTAGTTAAGATTCATGTACCACCAAATCACTATAGTTTATTATTTACCATTATCGGTCGTATATTATCATATCTCTGATTGTATTTTAAAATTTTCAGCCCCAATGACGACCCACATGTTTGGGTTGAAACTTTGGCACAAATAAAAAAAATTTATAATGACTTGCGTCCTGACTATTTAGCACCCATGATATGTAGAACAGTCGATTAGCTTCCTTCAATAATTTAATTATTTACATATGTGGCGCGATATCTCGTCCTCGGCCTTCCTACCCATCTTGCGAGGTGCAGCTCCTCATTATTTTCTTGGGTATTTCAACGGTGCTCATTCTGGCCACATGCCCTGCCCACCTTAGTCTGGCAAGTTTAATATACGTGACTACGTCGATGTCTGTATAAAGAGAACTGAGCTCCCTATTTTTTTTTCCTCCAGACATCACCCTCCTTTACTGGACCATAAATCCTTCTGATGACTCCTCGCTCAAACACACTCAGCTTCATCTCATCACTTTTCGTCATCGTCCAAGCCTCTGAGTCATATGTCAAAACAGGCCGTACAAGGGTCTTGTATAGAATCAGGTTCATCTTCTTTGCAAAGATACCTACTTCTTAAGTGTCGGCGAAGTCCAAAGACACATCTATTGGCTAATAATTTAATTATTTAGGTCACGGAAATTTGAAAATTAATAGAATTAAGTTGAATTTAGGTATATGGGTGCATGTCTTCTTCTTCTTCTGGCGCTACAGACCGACGTGGTCCTTGACCTGCTTTAACATCTGTTGCCATAGAGTTCTGTCCTCCTCCATCCGGATGGCTGCCTGTCGCATGTTCTCTCTCACCTTCTTCTTCCATCATACCCTTGGTCGTCCCTTTGGTCTAGTGGCGAGGATTCTCCCTGCATACACTTTCTTCACCTGTCTATCTTCATTTATTCGGTTGACATGGCCATACCATTTCAGCCTACTCATTCTTATCACATTTGACAATCGAAGATCGTTATGAAGATCTCATTATTTTTCCTACTTATAAACACCACCAAACATTCCTTGCAGCATCCTGCTTTCAATCCTGTCACATATGTTATTATTTAATGTCCATGTTTCTCCTCCATACGTAACCACAGGTCTGATCAGGGTTTATACGTATGATTTTTAACTTTATGAGATATAATGTTACTATCAACTATGTGCCTAAGTGCAAAATAAGCTCTAGTTCCTGCTAGAATCCCTCTTTTAACTTCCTTTAATTCATTTATCATTAAAGATCCTTGGTACAGGAAAGCCAACACTAATTCTATTTTTTCTATGACCATTAGTTTGGTTTTTCCAACATTTATTTTGAGGCCATTCCTGCTTGCTTCTTCCTATAATCACCACATTATGCCATTATTTGTAGAAATTTATTTATGATAGTGTCATTTTCCATAATCTTTATGTTTTTTAACTACATTATGAAGCACAAGATTAAACAACATAGACGCTAGGGCATTTCCCTGTCTCAGTCCATTTTTTATTTCAATGGTTTTAGACATTAAATCCCTATTTACTCTTATTTGACAATCGGAGTTCCTCATTGTCATCTTTGTAAGATTGATCAGTTTAGGAGAGATATTTGCCTTTTCCATTGCCATACATACCGCGGATCTGTAGGTACTATCATAAGCAGCCTAAAATTTATGAATAACTGCCATGTGACCATGTTATACTCGTATTCCCATATATTTTCATCGATCTAACAGGAAGGAAAGATTTTATCTATAGTATGTTTTTCCGAAAATCGAACTTATATATCGTAATATATGGATGTATGTATTTAGAGATAAAAAAAAGTAACAACAGTAAAATTTAAAGAATCCCTCCCTCTTCTGACTATGTTTACCTATCATTTGCCATCTTAAAAACACATCTAGCGAATTCTCTACAGACCCTTTTACTTACCTACCAAAGTGTCAGTACTTGAATACCTTCAGTGCTTGAAACACGGCTAGTAAGAGTAAATATTACATTTTTTATACATATAAATTATTTTTATGAATTATTGAAGGAAGCTAGTCGACTGTTCTACATATCATGGGTGATAAATATTCAGGACGCAGTCATTATAATTTTTTTTTGTTATTAAATTTTTATATTTATCATTTTTGTAATGTTTAGCTACTTATGCTCTAAGTGCACAATGGTTTAATTTCATAGAATCAAAATTCATCAAAATACTTATTAATTTAATTTTATGAAAGGTTACTCAGTGACGTCCAATTAAGCGGCAATATTTAATATTTACATTATATGTTTAAAATTCATTTTATATTAAAAACAATTAATTTGTTTTTAACTATAAATTATCTATTGCAGTAATGAGAAAGTCGAGTCTGGGCCTGAGGTTGTGGAAGAACTGAGGAAACAGCTGAGAGAGAAAGATTTGGTCCTGACGGACATCAGGCTTGAAGCACTGTCGTCCGCGCACCAGCTGGAGTCGTTGAAGGATACGGTCATCAAGATGAGGGTCAGTTGAGAATTCGATATTATTTACTAATCTTATTAATCTTAAGTCTTATCTTGTTGGAAAATTATGTTTATTTTATCAGCTAATCCTTTATATGGCATAAGTTCTTTTCATCAAGATATGCTACTTAGTGTATAAATACGATGTTTACACATGCATGTTTAAGTGTACAGGTTTATTATTTCTTTTAATAAGAAGGAGCGATAAATTCAACAAATATACAGTCAATATATCAATTAAAGTACTCTTCAAATTTCAGCAGGCAAAAAGAAAAACCTATAAAATGGGGCACACCATTAACATTATGAAATAAAATAATAAAAAGCTTAGCAAACCCGAAGGTTCGGTGCCAAAACCATCTATCGCATATTACACACCTCCTTCCACCATTCGCCGTCCAAACTTAGTCCCTTCAGATCGGCTTTAATGCAATCTTCCCACCTTCGTTTCAGTCTACTCCTCAAACATTTACAGCAAATATTAACCTTTTAGGAATTCTTTCATTACCAAGCCCAACAATTTTACAAGCCGATTTGATTCACCGCAAAGTAATCACCTCAATTATGTTAACCGGATAAAGTTCACACAATTCGGTATTGCGCAACTGTATGAACTCTCCGGTTAACTCATTCTTCTTCGGTCTGAGTATTCTACGCAATATTTTCTTTACAAAAACCTTAAGATGTTGCTCATACCTTAATGTAAGAGGCCAAGTTTCGCATCCATAAGGAACTGTAGGTAAGATAATGGTTTTATACGTTCTAGTTTTTAAGTTCCGGGACTGGAGGCGCGAGCTAAGTAGTTTTGTCACAAAATAATAACAAGCATTTCTCGCCTTCAGCCTAACCTTAATCTCCTCTTCAATTTTGTTTTTTCTAGTTATCGTAGACCATAGATACCTAAACTTCTCTACGCGTTCAAGCATATTACCTTCTATATCAATATCACTGGCAATATTGCCATTTTTGCTGCTAACCATATATTTTGTGTTATCCGTGTTTATTTCAACTCTAAGCCCTAGTTCTTTACCTGCTTTCATTAATGTTGTCGTATTTAGACGTTAACATTATAACTTTATTAAAGCACCTGTTGATAATAAGATACTCCATGCACTCTAGCTGAAATATCAACTACTTTGATTTCAAATCTACCAGGAACCTTACGTTATATTGAGCGATATCTACTTTAAGTTAATAGCCTTAAATAAGGTATGTTACCTTATTTAAGGTTTCCGTTCCTTTTAAAAACTAAGAGGGTGCAGACATGTTAATATGGTTGATAAATTGACTATTGTCCTATAAAGAGTTTAAGGAAGTGTTTTTTTTTTTATTAAATTAAATATATAAATAAATAACAATGTTTTCTTATTTAGGAATACCAAATTAAATTTTCAGAAAAAGTGTTATTTGTTATTAATAAAATTTGTTATTTAATTTATCTTTCCAGAACGAAATGGTGAACCTAAAGCAAGATAACGAGAGGCTTCAAAGGCTGGTGACCAGTAAATCTCTCACTTCATCTCAAAGCTCGCTCCCAAGGAACGACAGCCTTGAGAGGAGATTTAGCATGAATGACGCCATCGCTGGTAAATACAATTTTTTTTTTTTTTGTGTGTTCCTGTTAAATATTAAATTCTTCACTGAAATCAAATCTTTTCTTATATAATGTATGCAACAAAAATAGATATTAAGAGATAGTAAAGATAGTACTTTTTTTTTGTCTGTTGTTCCCTTCCTCGCTTTTTAGGCTATATGGGGTGTTCTCCCAGACCCCAGGGGGTGAGGGCAGGATATTAATGCCAGAGTTAACTACGGAGCAGCCATTTTCTTTTACCTGAACTAGTGAAACTTTTTTTCAAATTAAAACATCCTCTGGCATTAATAGAACTAGATTAGCTTGCCTTTTAACTGTCCAACATTAATTTATCAAACCATTTTTACCAACTTCCAATAATTACAATATGGATTTTAGTATGAAGAAAAGGCTATGATTTAATCAGCATTTTACGGTTGCAGTGAAAGGAATTTTTTATCCATGTGTGCTTGTTTGTTTTAGGTTAAGTATTTATAATAATAGAAAATAAGGCTGTGTTTTTACTTCACCACATTTATTCCACCTTTACATATACCTCGGCTACATTTCGGCTAGTAAGCCATTTTCAAAACTATCTTTCACATATTTATCACTTAAATTGATAAAAGTTATAACTACATCATTCTGTAATCCACTAGGTCAAGGATTAGGGAGAGTTGGAAGTCATTTAAAGAAGACTTAAGCACCATTAGTGGATTACAGAATGATATAATTAAACCTTTTATCAATTTAAGTGATAAATATGTAAAAGATGGCTTACTAGCCGAAACGTAGCCGATCTATATGTAAAGGTGGAATAAATGTGGTAAAATAAAAACACAGCCTTATTTTATATTATATGAATTTTTTATATAATTTAGATTTCTGTTACTAAGTACAGTGAAACCTCTCGTATCCATGATCATGCAGGAGCAGATTTGGCTTGGAAGCCGTTGTTTGGGGTCTCCCGCTCTATAACAACACCCTCTTACTATCTATTACATTATCAATGACCTAATTAATCCTCTCTCTGGTAATCTCAATAAATCCCATCATTATTCTATTGAAATATTAATTATACTTCATTTAAATTAATTTTAAAAAGTTCCTGTTTCCTTCACTGGAAGCTACACTATAAAAAACATCTTTTTTCATGGCTTCCTTCGTTCCTTCTAATAAAAAACAACTAATTCTGGTACCAATAAACCATTATTTTTCTTTTTTTATTCTTGCTAGTAAATGTATGTTTTTAGAAATAGAAAAACAGAAATGGTTCTTAAATTGTTATTATTATCAAAGAATTATCAATTTTTGTAGACTCCAAGTATGATGTATTCGCAAGTGATCCAGATGGGAAAAGAGTGACGCTTACCGTTTTCCTCGGCTGTCATGGATCGTACCACCGTTATGTTGAGGATGGTTCCGAAACAGCTATTGCCTCCCTCTCAGTCAGCGGTAAGACCAAGTGGGAAATGTTGGATGCGATGGTCAGAAGAGCCTTTAAGGTAATAATAATATTCATAATTTAATTTGTTATTTTTATTTATAATAAGATTTTTTTTATTATAGACTGGTAAATTAAAAATGTAGCTGTTTTAACTACCAGGTTGATGGCTGGTTAAGAAAATATTTATAGATTAATTTAAAGTATAGGTCTTTAGTTGCATTAACTATCTAGTAATTCCAATTATTAACCTTAATACCTTACTAATCTGTTTACATTTACTTAATTTTTTTTATAAATAAGTTTTATTAAATAATTTAGGACTTTTTTATAACCTAGTTTTTCAGCAAATAAAAATTGTAAATTCATTCTGATTACCCTTATGTAATGCTCTCGATTGTGACAACTGAAAATACTTTGTCTAATATTTATAATTGTTTTTATTCCAGGACTATTTAGACCGTGTCGACCCTATGACCTGCCTCGGCTTGGGACCAGACTCGGTGTGGTCTTACCATGTCGGTGAAGTGGTTCGTTACAGGGACCCGAAACCTCCCCCGGAACTGCTGCCGTGCGGCTACCTCGTAGGCGAGGACACCAACATCAGGATATGCCTCAGGGGAGCCCTGCACCAGGGTGCGCTGGATGCTCTGGCATTCGATACGCTCATTCCCAAATCCATTATCCAGAGGTAAGGAGCTATATTATGATTGAACTATGATACAATTGTAAATGTCGATGGATTGTTCGGTATTGAATGTTTCTGTTTGTAGGTATGTTTCTCTACTGACTGACTACAGGAGGATAATTCTTTGTGGTCCGAGCGGTACAGGGAAGTCATACCTTGCCAATAAGCTCGCAGAGTTCCTCGTTACCAGGGCAGGAAAGGAATCAACAGCTGAATCGGTTGCTACTTTCAAGTAAGACTCAGCTCTCGTTTATTAAATTAATTTTAATGTTATAATGATTATTTGGAATAAAAATACATGGCAAGTTTAAAGTAGAAAAGAGTTCTAGAGAAGAAACCAAAAATGTGATTCCTTAATGGTTTCGAGTTCATTTTAAATTCTTTCATCACACTCAGGATGGAAGTGTTTCTTTCAGGCAGGGTGCGTAGAGGGGGATTAGTTACAGAAGTTGCGCTATCAAACTTTTGCAGGGAGACACGTTTTTACATCTTTCTTAAGGAGAACTCTGTCGTTTGCCCACCAGCCTGCACTCTATGTATACTTTACATCTCATATGGTCAGATTTACTAGACATAGATAGATAGATAGATAGAAAGTAAACTTTATTCTGGGATAAGGTCCCTTATGAATAACAGATATGAAAAAAAAATAAAAACTACATCTGGCCAAAAGTTACATTAGTCAATGTTAAAGAATATATAGTATCTTCAGTAAAATTAAATTAAAACAAGTAAAAATAACATCATTTTGAAAAGAAAACAAAATTTAAAAAAAAAAAATTATTTAAATGAAAAGAGAATAAAATAAAATAAACATGGGTTGGTTTTTAAAATTAAAAACTATCAATTTTTACAACCATTCACCTCAGTCAAAATCTGTTTCGCAATATTTATTTTATTCTATAAGGTCATTTTGGGATGTGAGAAGGAATTGGTAAAGATGATATTTAAATGAGGACAAGGAAGAGGCATGGCGGATTTCAGAAGGCAAGGAATTCCAGAAGGCAGTGGATCGGGCAATAAAGGAATATTCAAACGTCTTAGTTCTATGGGAAGGGATATAAAGGTAGGAAACACGGGATCTTGTTTTCTGGGAGTGGACCACGGGTTTAAACTGTAGGAGACTGTAGATGTAGGAAGGGTGTCGGGTGTTGATCGTTTGGAATGGGAAAGATCCAAGGAAATATTGTCTGCGGAAAGAAGGGAAGAGCCACTTTAACTCTTCGTAAAGGTGGGATACATGAGACCGCCTCGATGTACTGAAGACAAATCTTAAGCATGTATTCATGAGCTGCTTCAATCTATCCTCAAGTACCATCGGGATGCCTCCGTACACCACACAGCCGTAGTCAAATTGTATTAGCAGCGTATTAGCAAATCTGGAATATTAAGCCATTCAAGTGCCTTTTACAGTTCCTTGCAGTTAATGCTGTCTTGGGATGTCTATCAAGAGAATAGATGAAGGGTTTTAATATCATCTTCATTTTCGCTGTCAAGTATTATTCTAAGGCAGAGAAATATTAGAACTATTGTAGATCTTCTCCGTCTAAAATCCACATCGGTAGGTACCAAGCTTCTGCTCTGCTAAGAGTAGGAGACGCTGGAACAGGATATTAAATAGCATCTTGTCTCCATAAGAGAGAAGAAAGATATTCCAGGAGTTTGTCTCCTTTTGTTGAAAATAGGATGTATGACCAACTTTTTCCAATCTTCTGGCAAAACCTCCTTCCCAGATGGTTAACATAAGATCAACATATTACACAGGTTTTTCTTATATACAATTTTATATATTAATTAATTAATTAATTAAGTATTTTTCAACACAAAGTAATTACATAGTTAAGTTTTATTTCGTAACTAACAGTTGTCATGCTTGATTTGTCTAAATAAGATGATAAATTTTAGATATTATTTTCATCTTCACCAAAGGCGATGTACTGCCTAAAAACTTTTTATATTATAGCTCTTTTTTTTCTGTTGGCTCGACTACATGTGGGCGTCTTTTGCCACCTAAACCAGCCTTCTTCACCTCTGCAGCATCTTTGTTGATTTGATCTATCCGTCTGGCTTTTGGCATTCCACATAATCTCTTGTATATTATTAAGGTATTCAATGTTGTGAAGAGGCTTCCTGATGGATTGCTCTGAATTCTGAACATGCCCTGTCCATCATAACCTCATTGCCTTCTTATCATAAAATATCGATTAACCGGTTTATATCGGCAGTTTTTTGTTGGTCTTTCTACTCAAAAGTGTTAGCACTCTGACCCAAGATCAGTCCATTTATGTCACGAAGGATTTGTCTCTCAATTTTCTGACTTATTAAGAAATATTTAATATCTTATGTTTTTAGTTTAATTAAGTATCACAGATTCATTTATAGATAATTTTTAAAATTTTGGAAAATAACGATGGCATATTTTTGGGTCTTTGTTATATAAAAATAAGGTCTCTAAGATGATTATAATTTTAAAAATTCTCTAGCTGATGGGTCTACCTTAGCTTTTTTTTTTAAATAAATAAATTTACTTCATTCATTCATATTCATAATTTCAAAAATGACTGTTATAGTGTCGAGCACAAGAGCAGTAAGGAGCTGCGACAGTACCTGTCTAACATTGCGGAGCAGTGTGAGACAAACGCAGCAGACCTGCCTTCCGTCATCATTCTGGATAACCTCCACCAGGCAGCCTCTCTGGGAGAAGTGTTCAACGGCTTCTTGAAGGCCAAGCACACCAAGTGCCCGTACATCATCGGAACGATGAACCAGGCCACCTGTTCCACGACCAACCTTCAGCTCCATCACAATTTCAGGTACGTCTTCTCTCAATCGCAAACTATTTTTTTTTTTTAACAATTAGCTTGAAGTTGATGTTGACTATATGAGGTGTGGATATCAAATAACGAAACGTATACTGTAAAACATTTAATTTCGATTTCCTACATATTTACTTATTATCACCTTCAATGTACTTCAACGGTAACATCCCTCCTCTATCTTTACAGTGCTGCTCTTTGAAACATTGTTACAAGTCTTCTTCTGTCAGCTCCTTCATACGTTCCCTCTTTCATAACTTTAACAAAATCAAAACCGTTCTTTTTTATCCAAATTTCACCAGTTGCTTAAAAAATATATGTACAATATCTCAGACTATACTTGAATAGAAAACTCGCCTGGAACATATACACCAAATTAAAAAAAAAAGAACTGACCAGACAATACAAACAACTCACATCTCTTGAACTACAGATCTCCTCTCAACATACAAAACAAATGACTAATCTACAACACCGTACTAAGACCTATTTGGACAGACGAAACAGAACTTTAGGGTTCTGCAAAACATGTCCATATAATCGAAATTCAAACCACACAATCCAGAATACTATATAAAATCGTAAATGCACATTGATTTATTTCAAATCAGAAGCTACTGATCACAACATGAACATACCAACATTAAATTCTTATATACATAGCAAATACACATCATTCCACTCTTCTACTGTTATCATTCAAATCCACTTTTTCCGTCTCTTTCTTTATCCCTGTTGTGCCTCAACAATGACTAAAAAGGCACTGGCCTAGAGATCTCCTGCTCTCAATGTAAATAATTATCAAGAAAAAAAAAGAAAAGAGAATAAACGGTAACACATTTGCTTAATGTAATGCATTACAACACAGTGGCAAATATAATGTAAAATAAAATAATAGTCCCATGGAGCAGGTTCCAGTGAATTAGGTGGATGGTATAGGCACCAGGATACCGTACTTGGCTAGAAATCTATTTTCAGACAATGCAGAATGAGTCGGTGCACTGTCTTGGTGAAGAACCTATGATTTGTCCTTCCACAATTTGGGTCATTTTTTCACCAAATTCAACAAGAACGTGAATGAAGTAATGTAGATGAATATAACTCGTTATTTTACAGCCACCACGATTTTGATGATTAAAATTTAGTTTTGAGTATTGTATGTTTAATAATCGGTGTCTGTTCTAGGTGGATCCTTTGTGCGAACCACATGGAGCCAGTGAAAGGGTTCCTCGGACGTTACCTGCGAAGGCGGCTGGTCGACAGTGAGGCAAGGATGGGCTCGAGGAGCCCGGAACTGGCGAGGATAATGGACTGGGTACCTCGAGCGTGGCACCACCTCAACCAGTTCTTGGAAGGTCATTCCTCCTCCGATGTTACCATAGGTAATGTAACGTAATTGTTAAGTTAACAAGTAGCGTATGTCAAATTTATAATTAGTGTTGGAGCCCTAGGACAGTGAAATTGTCTTAGGGACGCCCTTGCACTATGCCTATGTTTGAGCTGCTTGATTCAGAGGTGAACCACCTTAAGGGTTAAAACATAATGTGTCTGAATGTTGATAAGCAAAACAAAATAATAACTGGAAAAAACATAGTAGTAAAAGAAAAGCAGGGTGGAAGAAGATAACAGAGAGAAAAGGAAATAGATGCAGAGTAGTAATAAGTTTGGAAAATGAAAACATTAATTAAAGATAAAAAATATTTTATATAAAAGAAGACAGAAGAGTCTTCAGTCTTCTATTAAGTCAACTCCAATATATTTAAATTTTTTTTCTGATTTGATTGTTGTGACTGCAAATGATGTTAATGAGAGTTTATGTTATTAGAGTAATTGCCTATATTTTTCTTGATTGAATTTTTCAAATCGTTTTGGCAGTTTAAAGTGAGCTTATCCAAACAAACCTGTCAACTTTATATCTTAGTTTAAATTATTAGACTCATTTAATATTTTTAATTTCTCAGGACCGAGGCTGTTCCTGTCCTGTCCTATGGACATCGCTGGCTCGCAGGTGTGGTTCACCGATCTCTGGAACTATTCAGTGGTACCGTACCTCCTCGAAGCTGTACGAGAGGGGATACAGGTATACGGGAGGCGCTGCGAATGGGAGGATCCAGCGGGCTACGTCATCCACTCTTACCCTTGGGCAGGGGACTCTGTACACTTAGGCCCCGATGCACTCATCAGGTGAGTTATTAAATTTTTTTTTTGTTCTCTGATTTTTTTCTTAGTAATGTACAAATTGCAGAAATATTTGTCAGTTCTTACCTATATCTCTCCTGCTTCATTTAAATTGTTTTCGTTTGAGAAACTTTGGTCCTTGTACCCTTCACTAATTCAGCTGTTTTTTTATTATTACAATCTCACTTGAATAAACAAATATAATTTCATTTAAAAATTACTGTGCTGGACAAGTGCCTAGTCTCTCTCTATATAAATGTGCCACTACTGATTTTACATTTGTTTATTTTTATCTATTATCATTATTTTTATAAGTATACTTAGTGATCTTGAGGAGTTATTCTCATAGGAATAGGAGACAAAAAAGAAAAATATATTTTTTACAGATCATTTCCTCACTGTTAAACATAATTATAAATTATTTTAGTAATTAGTGTTGTTATTTTTTTTCAGGTTAAGACCAGAAGATGTCGGCTACGAAGTACAGGCTGCAGTCAATACAACAACATCTACTAGCACCAAATCCCAGCCAACTGCTGAGCCGGATCCTCTCGTAAGTTCAAATGTTATGTTTATTTCTTTTTACTTTGCTAGCTATACTAGGTAAGGAAAGTATTGCGATCGGGTCAAATTTCCGATATGCAGTTTTCAACAGATACGTTTCAGAGCTCCCTGAGCCCGAAAAACAATTTTAGCCATTGGTCTGTCTGTCTATGCCAAAAACACAGTTTAGCCTAGTTTTTTTTTTTTTTTTTTTAAAGGTAATGAAATCCTCTACAAAACTATATAAAAATCGTTCATTTCAGACAACTATTAATGAAGTTTACAGCTATTCAATTTCCAATGTAAGATTACGGGTACATATCCTGATGTCAGAAACTGATGAATGAGAGAATAAAGATAACTTAGTGAAAGTAAGAAAATCTGTTTCTTGCATTACACAAGCTTCACTATTTCCTCTACTTTTAGCAGAAATTATTGTTTGACAAAATTAGGCTATGGCAAAAAGTTTTTGATGAGCAATATTAGTGAGTATTGAAATTTTTATACTGATCTACCTTAAGCCGGTTTACATTGTTTTAATTTATCTAATAAATCGTACTCAAATCTTTTCTTTCGTCAATTTTCAGGAAAATAAATCTAATTCAGTTTTATTTTGTATCTTGATGGACATGTGTAAAGATATAAAAACATTTCTGAAATAGGTAGAAAAGTCGTGTGAGTGGACACACCAAATTTTTTAAATTTAAAAGCCTACAAATTCATATTCCAGACTGCCTACGATGCAATGGTTGCCTAATTCACAATGGTTAAGAAAAATAGACAAGTATTGGAAATATTCTAGAAAATAAAATTAGACAAGTCAATCTTAAGTCCGGTTTACATGGTTAAGGTTTCCGACAAGTTTCTCAGATCTGCTCATCAGCTATCCTTCTATAATATGAGATTATCAAGATAGTCTATTCTAGACCCCATTTTTGAAGTTTTAGTTTTTTTACTGCGACTGCTAAAGTAACAATTTACTTAATTATTGATTAACTTCTCCCCATTGGAAAATATCCCTCCAGTTTAGTAGGTAAGCAATAAGACGCAGCTATCCCTCAACTTATACTAATCCATTTTATTGTACTTGCTCAAGACCTATTTGTTTAGTCCAGAACAGCCTTGGTTTGTTGTTCTCTCAATTACTAAGATTATAGAAGCCATTACTTCGATATCTAGTTCTTCCATAAATACCGTTACAAAAGTTGAACTTCGTTTATATCCTTGGGTATTATTTAGATAATCCTTACCTCTATCAGGTTATTTTCTTTACATGTCAGGATAATAATCCCAATTAGTTTGTATTTTTCTTTCGCTCAGTTAACATCGAGTGGGGTGATAAAGAAAACCGAAAAGCTGTGATCGGCTTGCTCAAAGTTGGAAAATGTAAGTCAGAGATTTTTAATACTTTGAAACCTTTGGATATCAGCCGTATGTTTCTGTACTGCACTATAAATAGATATAATGAGACTCTATCTGTATGTGACAGATCTTGACTAGGCTTTCCCCAGACTATGAGAAGTGAGAGCAGTTGCCGCTCGAATCAGAAGAAATCCCATTCGAAAACAACAAATAATGTCTCAGGAATTGGGAATCTCTGTTAGATCAATGTCTCGCCTAATAAAAAGTGACCTTAGGATGGGTGCGTTTCGAAGAATGACAGGACAAGGCTAACCGCTTAAAAAGAATTATAGTGGATAGATGCAAAGTGCCCCTTGGCCGTTACACCAATGGTCCTCGTCGAAAGATTTTATTTAATGATGAGAATATTTTTACAATTAAAGAAAAATTTGAGGAAGTCATTGGAAGAGTGGAAAGAGATCATCACCCTTCCTCAGTGATGGTTGGTGAGGAGTTTGTTTTGATGGCACCACAAAGCTCCATTTTTGTGAGAAAAAAAAAGAGTTAAAACAGCCGCTAAAAACTATCAGGACAATATTTTAGAACCTTGTCAAGCCTCTAAATGATATTCTGGTCCGAGCAGTTGAGCCCTTTCCTCAAGAAGTGCTGCATGCTGCTATTGATGACTGGCCTCAGAGATCAAAAGCCTGTGTCAAGGCAAAAGGGGGGCTTTTTGAGTCCTTTCTTTTTTGTTTTACTCTCTATAGATATACATGGTATTTTCTGATAAAGTTTTTGAAAAAATTATTTTTTCTGTTGAAATCTGTATATATTTCGTTGTAACAATATTTACGACAGAACTAGGTATTTTTTTATTTGTTAAAATTATTTAAAAGTTTCTATATTTCTGAAGGGCATGACAGCTGTTCTCCAATTACCTTTTCAATAAATTCTTATTTCGTTGAATATTATAATTTTTAAAACTTAAGCATGTGATGGGTATCCAATGGCAACCATAGCGTCTAAGAGGCTTTCAGTAAAAATTTTTATTTATCTTGAAAACAGTTTATTTTAGCACATTTACATCTTGAATAGACTTGGAATTTTTTCAAATTGTTGAAAGACTTAGGTTTAATTCTTCAGCCTGACTACTATTGTTACATACCACTCTTCCACATTCTTATTACAGTACTAAATAGACGTATGAATTTAACACTAAGGGTGCGGAGTGACAGTTAATATTGGCAAACGATAGATAACTATATATTATTTAAATTTTATTTTGCATTATATTTTTATTTAATTCATATGACTGCGGTGGTGCAATTCATTGGCTGGCAAACATTCTTTCACTTCACCAGTAGTTCTTCTTTAATGAGCATTTATTAACCAGAAATATCATAGTTGGTATCATATGTATAATTATTATGCTGGTTATAGAAATAAATAAACTTATGAGAAACTAGATTAATATTAGAATCCCCCTCCCCGTAGTTCACATTATTTTATAATATAGAAAATCAGAGTTTTATATGTCAAATATCAACTTTTATCTCCTCTCAGTTTATGAAAATAAAATAAAGATGATAAAAATAAATTACTGAATGTTTAGTTTTCTAAAATAAAAAATCCTAATCGAGCTTAAAAAATGCTTCTTTCAGAGAATTATATTTTTTATTTAAAACACCGATTTTTTTTTACTCATATCATTTTGTGGTCAATTTTCTTTCTTGTATAATAAATAAATTAATTATAAATTATAAATTTTTAATATTTGTGTCTCCAGACATATTAGTGAGGAAAAAGTATCATTAAATATGGAAATGTCAGAGAATTTTACTTTAACTGTTGGTAGCCACCCTGTTGTAAGAAGGTTTTATGTTTTAAAATTGGCATTGCTCACTTCTCCATGTAATTCCCTTTCATTTGATGCCTCATTCATCAAAAACTATTGCTCCTGAGAGCCAGAAAAGGTATAGGGATATATAAAAGTCGATACAAACATTTTGCTATTCTTCGATACTGGAACGGTGGTAGGTCTGTAGATCGATGCGGGACAAATTGGATCTTGATGCGTACAGCAAGACCCGGATAGTTCCTCTGAAGCTATCGGATCCTGCATTTTTAAGCCCCAAAACGTAATATTTTCGAGATAACGCAAGGCATAGGGTTCGCATCCACACAACCTTACTTTAATTGTAGTACTGTCATTGAATACATGTCTCATTTCGTCGACTTGAGGTCTCTATGATTGAGAGAGTTTATATTATTTAGCGATGGTATTTTTGATCGGCGAGCCATATCATCGTTAATTTTTCACCAAATCTCAAGATTGAGCCGCCAATTCCGAAGGCTTCCTTCTCCTTCAGGCGGGCAAAATAGTCCAATCATCCTGAAAATTTAGGCAAACAAGTTATGAAAGAAAACAAACTTTATTAGTGAATAACTAAAAAATTATATACTTTTCTCTTGGTTGTGCCAATGATTATATAAAAGATTATTTAATTCCCTACAAAAGGGAAAAAAATAATCATCGAAATCGGACAATTTTTAGCAAAGATACAGCTTACTGAAATTTGTAAACATGTTGGTTCCAAACATTAATGAAGAATTAAATTATTTTTTGTTTCCTTTGTCGATTATATTTATTGATAAAATAACAATTGATTTCTTTATCTTTTGATACGTTGCATCATTTTATTTTCTTATTAATTTGGCATTTGATAACAATATGCTGTGCGAATTTTTCGCACAGGCCTACTAGTATATATATATATATTTGAATTGTTACATATTATTTATTTTGTTTTTTAAAATATTTTTAGTTGAATATGCTGATGAGGCTGCAGGAAGCCGCTAACTATTCCAGCCCTCACACAACCGAAGGCGAGATGAGCAGTAGCGGCAGCCTTGGAGTGGAGTCTTAGCCGAAAGAAAACTGCTCCGGCGCTGTCCTGCGTAATTATCTTTTAGGTCTTCTAAGATATATTACCCTGTACAATTGTAACATAAATATTGAATGTCTGTATATATATGTACAAGTATACATTAGCTATCAAAACATTTTTTATAAAAATCTATGTTTCCTACAATAGTCAGCTGCGATGAAGTATATTTTTTTAATTTATAAAAAAAAATGAATAAAAATAGCTCAAATCGTGCATTTCCTAGTTTATAGATATTTATAGTTGGAACTGTTGGCTAAAATATTATAATAAAAATTAAAATTATAACATTTCCTATTTTTTTACTTTATCATAAAAGAACGTATCGTTTGCTTTTCGCATTGTAGCGCCATGCACTTGTTTAAAATTGACCCATTTTTGACTGATTCTAAACGGTCTGTACAATCATAAAGCGCTAGATTTATATTTAAAGAAACATGCTGCCCATAATACATGAATGAGTAATCATTGTTGCCTTTGATCCGAAAGTATTTTAAAGGAAAAGATAAGATATACTTTTAGTTCGTGCACCTACCAAAATCTTTCTCATGCTTTTGTATCCTATAAATTTTTGTATCAGAGATTTTCTTAAGGTTTTTACGCTGTATGATAAACCGTCGTATGACAATAAGATTTATATTGGCGGGCTTTTATAAGAATGCCTTTGCTCTGTTAGTTAGGTATTTATGTATATTTTTCATGCTACTTGGCCAGTAATCGATGCCATTGCGTTACTAGCTATTGTTGTACCATTCTATCGTATGCGAGCAGTTTTTCATTTATTTTATGTAAATGTTTAACTCTGCTGCTTATTTTTTTTTTCCATTTATTATTATTATTATACATATCATTTGTTAATTTGTTGTAAATATATATATGTGTATAAAAATATTTAGAGAAAGAGATATTGAAAATAATATATTTATAATTAGATATAATTTTGTTTAAGGTTCAGTTTACAGCAGAGTATGCCAAAAAATTGAAATATGTATTAATGAAAACATTGTCTATGTATACATAAAAGTTATGTAAACGCATAACAGTGCCTAGTCAGCTTAACGTACGAATTAAGGAGTGTTTTACCATGTATTGCTTTTCTATATGCAAGTCATGTCTTCAGGGTATATTTACCTTTTATACTTCCTCTATGTAAGCCCCTATGTATCGAATTCAAAGATTCCTTACAAAAAAAAAAAAAAAACTGAATTTTTCATTAAGGATCTGAAAACTTATATTCTGAAAAAAAAACCATTGTAAATAAGTTTTCAAAGCCAAAGAAAATAAAAAATAAGCTGTACTTAGTTCTATTAATAAATTTTTTGACAGATACATTTCAATAAAACATTCATCAATAATATATATAAGTGCATAGCATGATCAAATGTTTAGGATTTAAAATTATTTATGTTCTTGTTTAACAAAAAAAACAAAAAAAATTGTCTTATCAATCATAAATTCTTTTAGTTGTTCTGTTGTTAGTAATCTACTGATTTTTTTTAGAATTTTTTTTATCTTATGAAAATTTTATTTAAAGACAGAAATGTTTTTCTAATCAAATTTGTTTAATGAAAAAGTTTGATATATAGGGGTTCAACTGAATATATTTGTAATATAGCTTCTTTACTACAGCATGCGTGCTTACTGTGTCTGTTGTATAAATAGTTTTGTACTTTTCTCATTCTTGAAGAGTTACGCGCGCCAGCGTGCAAATAATTATATTGTATTATGTTTATAATGTTTTCTAAATTGTGTTATATATAAATATTTATAAAAAATTGTTACGAGAAATTAATGTACAATTCCAAATAACCAGAAGTCGTTGACAATATAATAAAGAAAAGTTAATGACCACTTATATGAAATTTTTAATTTATTTATGGTACTAGTTCACAAGAGTTCCGCACGAATTATGCGTGAATCACAATCACTTTGATCACACTTGTTCATGGAATCCCGAAAACAGCCGAATGTTGTCGTCTTTTAAGACGTCAGCTATTGCCCCATCGCACAACCCCTTTTGTATTTTTGAAGAAAAAAAAACCAACGTATTTCCTTCATGGAACTTCCTTATTAACAGTTTATTAACGAATTGTGTATTTACTATTAGTCAATTATTAATTTTTATTATAACGGTTATCATTAGAAAAATAAAAAATATAAAAAAAAATGTTTGAGTCGTTTCTTCAAGGCCTGTTTAAAAAAAAAGTGCTTTTAGAAATAACATTTTTATTGGCAAGTGCTTACATGTAGTGTCTGTAAATACGCATATACTGTATATTATCTTTTATAACTGTGTATAAAAGATTTTTTTATCATTTGGATAATAAATAATTTGAAGTAATCTTATTATTTGTTATTCGAGTTTTTCAATAGAAGTTGGAATAATTGCATTTATAATTTATTTTAGCAAGTCTTTTTTAGTTTGTCATCTATCTAGTTTATGTAATTTTTTGGATTTCTAATAATACGAGCATCCACTATTTTCTAGTGGTTCTGATTTGAGATTAAGCATCAAGTTTATGTAACTTTTTTGAATTCTTAGATATATATGGATCCGCTATTTTCTAGTCGTCGGAGGTTTTTATGAATATACTGTCGGATTTAAAATTGCTCTTTGATTTTTTGTAGATTTTTGGATTTCTAAGATATAAGAGTCCACTATTAAGTTGTCAAGGATGCTTTTTCTGAAAACAATGTCTGATTTAAGATTTATGAATATACTGATAATTCCAAGATAATGAATAATGAAAATCGTCAATAAAAAAAAATAATGTCGTGAAATAGCATTCAGAGATGTAATAATTAAAGATTTTTATCTATTACTATTTCTTTTTTACAGATCTATAATATATGTACAAGTTCAATTTAGGTTTCGTGATGTGTAGCCTAAATTTCGAATGTAACTCGACTCCTGCTATATAACTGAACATGTTTAAGGTTATAGAAGTACTTAAATGGCGAGGAAGTTAATAGTAACTGGCCCAAGAGATCGGTCGCCTTCGTTCTCTTTCGGATAAACCCGAACGCATTCGGGATTCTAGGTACAAATGTGACCGAAACTCATGTGAACTAGTACCTTATTTATTACCCAATTTTTTTAAAATTATATTAATTTATGTGTTGAATGGGAATGTTAAATAATGTAATTTTTCTGTCATGGTAACGGGACAGAAAGATGCGGCTCTCTTTATTCTTCTATGGTAAGTAGTCGGCACTATGAAGCTTCCAGAAGATGCTACAGTGAAGGATGTAAGTGAATCTACAAAGGAAAATAATCATGGATCAAGTGTAGGTTTTATTAAGAAATTACTAGATAAATATATGGAATTATTCTAAAATTATTTTAGCATTTTCAATATAAAAGAAAGACCAAAATATGATATTTTAATATAATGTATCCCTTGTTCTCTGACAGGTCTTGAATGGCTGGTTTATAATATGTCCTGTAAAGTACCTTTAATTTTTTTTTATTTGAAATAATTAACTATTTCATATTAAACTCTGATATAAAAAATAGTTAAAAAATATAGTTATAGCAAAATTAATATAAAAATAAATTTATTAAAAATAGTTAAATTCAGAAGCAACATACACATACACAGGATAGAAAATTAATAAAAAAATTTTATACAATGTCAAAGGGAGTATATAGTTACGATGTTATTGATGATGAGAAAAGATTTTTAAAAACGTTAAACAATTGTAAAGTAATGTGATCAATAAAAATATACAACAATGACAAGGAACTTAAAATTGCCAACTTCATCTATAAAATGAAAAACTTCCCAAAAAAACAAAAAGAAATTAATTATAAATAGTGTCTTTTCTCCATGATGGATTCTAGTCATCTTTAGTGATTTCAGCCCTTATAAGAAACACAATCTATTTATAAACATAATCTCTATATATGTATAAAATTAAGTCTTCAAATGTGATGATACGCTTTTAATTAAATTTTCTCTTAAGTTCTTCAATCGAGAGATAGTCATGCGGCAGATGCAAAACACCCATTCTTAAAAATGCAAATCTGAAATTAAATTAATGTATTAAGAAAAAGAAAAAAATAGATTTTCAAATGTTATATTGATCCCTGATTTATTAATGAAAACTTATCTTCACGTATACAATTAAGTTTAAATAAAGTAGCCCTCTCTAATTTCCAATTCTATATTGTGGCCCTTGAGCTAAAACAATTATCCACCTTATGCTAGAATATAAACTTTATTGAAACTAATATAGTGAAATTATTGCTAAATTAATTGTCAACCACCAGATTTGAAACCTTCCTTGAATGTATTGAATTTAATTTATATCATTTACTCATAAAAAATATTATTGTAAATAAATAATCACTTAACTAAAAGCCTTCCTTATAATTACTTCCAAAGAGGTCTTTTATAACGATGAGTTATTTAAAAATTGTACCACTCACAAATAAATGCATGATACACTAATAATCCCATAAAGTTCTCTTTTTTTTTCTATTCCATTTGTGAAGCTGAATCTTTATAACTTTCTCTAAACCACGTTGAAATTGCAAACAAACAAATTGGAAACAACTGCGCTCCTGGGGTCCATGGAGAAAGTATATCACAACTTTTTTAATATAATAGATAATTCGCTACACTTCATAAGTACAGACTTACTTTCAAAATTATTAAAACAATTTTTCAATTAAATCAAATGAATATCAGCCCAAAATTCGTAATTTCTTTTATATTAGTTTACAGTTCTTTATATTTTCCAGATTTAATCTAAAATTTTCTATATCTTAGATAATTTGTTACACGTGTTAAGTACAAATTACTTTTGAAAATATTAAAACAATTTTTCAACAAAATGAAATGAATATCATTCTACAAATCCATAATTTTTTATCAATATATCTCTCGGTAGAAAGATCTCTTCGGTTTGCAGACAATAATGAAGATTTAATAACTCTTAAGCCAACTGTGTTTTTAATAAAAATACATTTTTTGAAG